AAAAAATGTCCTAATTGTTTACTCTGACTTTTCTTCAGTGTAGGAGCGAATAACTTAGTTGACTTGAATCCAACAAGTCATGCAATTCACAAGTCTAGACAGAGACAAGTGTAAGCTAATTCAGCGAGATGAAATTGAGCCTATACCTTATGTTTTCTATGTATAACATGTGCAATAATCCGACCCATTTCAAGTAGGATAGGCCCTCGAAAAGTGTGTAAGTAAACATACAATGCCTTGCTCAATTTTCTTTTGTTTGGAGAAACTAGAGCTTTTCATTAGCTCGAGCAATGTGGTGCTCATTTGAGAGTCGATTTGTATTTATGAATTACTCAATAGGATCTCTTTCAATTGTTGTAAAATTTTGAAAAATTAATTACATTAAAAAGCTAACAATAAGGTGTTGTCTTAGATGATGGCAAGTGAGTTTGCCCCTCTCCTTATGGTCTCGGTTTCGAGCCTTATTGGAAGCTAACCCGGCGCTTGACTGCTGAATAAAAAAAATTAGAAACCCCAAAAAATCTCTATCGAACCATTCTTAGCATAGCAAAACTAACAACGAAATGAAAAAAAAAAAGAAGGAAGAAGAAAACCTTTAAATATGTCAATGTGCAGTACCAAAGGAGAAAACCCGGGGCAACTATCAGGATTTGCCACATGTCATACGTCGACTGCTCCTTCAGCCAACCAACACGTATTTCTATTATATATACTAAAAAGTTGCACAAAGTATGGTAATAACCCGGTGGACGGGAGGAGGAGGGCCATGGTGCTTTTCCGTCGGGCACGATGGATCAATTCCATGCACCTACCAATCGTATTTTCTTTTCTTTCTTTTAATTTTAAATCTTTTCGGATTATTCCCTCTTTTTATTTTCCTTTATACCACTCGAAGTAAAGATGATGCCCATTTTTCATGGTTTTTCTTATGCCTTTTTTCCTTTTTCTTCTTATTTTCCTTTTCATTTTAATATAAGAGAAAATTATTTTTTGTTTTTTTCTTATTTGGTTTTTCATTCTATTTTTGAACATATTATTGTATTTTTCTATTTCATATTTCATAATTAATTCATTGTATTTTCTGATTCTATAGTTTATACTTTTTTGCCTTTTTATGGTACTATAAAACATTTACAATCAAATACAAATTTAAGTATATTGTTTTATTTCTTTTCTTGAATCTAATTATTTAATAAAAAAAATAGAATATCATATATGTATTTTGGTGTTATGATCAAATTCCATGATATATATCCATTATTTACTTTTAATGGATCTCCACATGTTAATGTGATGTACACCAAACTACGCAAATTACTCGAACCGTCAAACTCACAATCCTATCAAATAAGCAAGAAATAACGTAAAAAAACAAGTAAAAACGCTACCTCAACTACGAATTGGCTAAACCAAGTTTACTAGCTAATGAAATGACTCTAACTCGCTAACAAAACTCTCGTCCGAAGACGATTTTCAAATCTATCCGTAAAGTCGAACTTGAGTGCGGAATTTTAAAATTTCGCTTCGACTAAATCGTTCGTCAAACCCCATGGTTTCACAGCGCCCTAATCTATCATTTCTATGAAATTACTCAACTTAACAACTTAAAAATCGGACATCGCAGTTCAAATTTCACATAACTTTAAATGTGTGCCCTAATTCCAAAAACTACTCAGATTAGATGAACGAAATGGCTTAAATCCTTACCGGGCGTTGCGAAACGAAGTTAATCTGGCTTGGTGAGACTCTCGTGGCGTGTACTCCTTTCCCTTTTCTTTTTAATTTCCCTTTCTTTCTTTTCTTCTTCTTTTTCTTTCCTTTCCTCTATTCTCGGCGTGCTCGCCTTTTCCTCTTTAATACGAGAGTTCACTTTCCTTTTTCTTTTTGACTAGTAAATTTTTTTAGTTAGCCACTACCAAGTCAACAAACCCAAATATTACGGTTGTTATGCTTGATCTGGAATAAGTTCAAATCTTCTCCTCTTCTTGATTGCCCTTTGCTGTCTCAGTGATCAGTGAAGTAGATTTGTGATTTGCATCCACGAGAAGATAACTAGGCTAAAGAATTTCGTGACCGGTTCTATCTCTTGCTACTAAAAAGGTCCTTCAATACAGAAAGTTCTTCGAGGATGCAGAGTAATTGATTGGAATCTCTCAATAGAATTTGCGCAAATCCAGGATCTTCTCTAATGTTGGTCTCTCTTGGTGTGGTACCAAGAGAGACACTTTAGCTGATTCCCTTAAAAAAAATGTCTTAGTTGTTTTACTTTGACTTTTCTTCGGTTTAGGAGCGAATATAGTTGACTTGAATCCGACAAGTCACACAATTCACAAGTCTAGATAGAGAAAAGTGTAATATAATTCAGGAAAATATTTGAGCCTATACCTTATGTTTATGTGGATAACATATGCAATAATCCAACCCATTTCATGCAGGACAAGCCCGCGTGAAGTGTAAGTAAACATGCAATGTGGTGCTCATTTTTCTTTTGTTTGGAGAAGATAGAGCTTTTCATTAGCTTGAGCAATGCGGTGCTCATTTGAGGGTCGATTTGTATTTATGAATTACTCAATAAGATTTCTTTTGGATGATGTAAGATTTTAGGGTTAATACCACGAAAAACCCTAAACTGGTATACATGTGACAATTTTACCCTAAACTATTTTTTTGATCACGAAATACCCCAAACTGGTACACCTGTGACAGATTTATCCCAAAATAATATTTTGACCACTAAAAACCCCAAACTTATATATTTGTGACAAATTTACCCTCCGTTAATTTCCGTTAAATTGAATTAATACAAAAAAAAATCACAAACTGGTACACATGTTACGAATGGAGGGTAAAACGTAAAACTGATACATCAGTTAACTGTCGCGTGTCATTTAACAAAGCAATTTGATAGCAAAATTTAACGGAAATAAGCTGAGAGTAAATTTGTCACAAGTGTACCAGTTTGGGATTTTTTATGGTCAAAATATTAATTTTGGGTAGAATTGTCACAGGTATACCAGTTTGGGATTTTTCATAATATTAACCCAAGATTTTAACAGTTTAATTATATTAAAAAACTTAACAATAACTTGTCTTAGATGGTAAGATAGTTTGCTCATCTTCTTATGGTCTTGGTTATGAGCTTTATTGGAAGCTAACCCGGAACTTGACTACTGAATAAACAAAATAATTAAAAGCCTAAAAAACCTCTATCAAATCACACACGAAGGAAATCATAGCTTCGTCTATGATCAACTTGTCGTCACGTGGATCGCATACTTCTCCCATTTTAGTCACTTGGGATCCTCTACCTCCAGGATGGATTAAACTGAATACAGATGGAGCATCTAAAGGTAATCCTAGACTTGTAGGAGTAGGAGGATTATTCAGAAACGAAGGGGGTGACTAGCTTGGAGGTTTTACCTCATTTCTTGGAATATGTTCGTCTTCACAAGCAGAACTATGGGCACTATGGTTAGGATCCCCATCGCAAAGCAACATGGTTTCTATAAAATTATCATTGAGATGGACTCTAAAATTATCACCGAACTTGTCAATCTAGACAGTATAATAGATAACACTGGACCGGCTCTACTTAAAGATATCAGAAGATTCTTGGGCTCTCATTTTGAGTTCAAAATATAGCATAATTTTTAGGAAGGCAATCAACCTGCTGATCTTCTTGCGAGAAGCGATTGGATACTACGTTCTACTTACAATCTCCTAGCGAATTATCTCATGCTTTGTTTAGTAATAAAGTTGGAATAGTAAACTTTAGACATTAATCTATTTAGTTTTGTACCTTTTATTTACCAAAAAAAAAAAACACAACGGAACGAAAAAAGAAGGAAGAAAACCTTTAAATATATCAATGTGCATTGTGCAGTACGAAAAGAGAAAAACCGTGTGGACCATCGGCATTTGCCGTGTGATATACGTGGAATGCTCCTTCAGCCAACTTACACGCATTTCTATAATATATAGTGTGAAAGTTGCATAAAGGCATAGAAAGTATGGCAATAGCCCGGTCGACGGGTGGAGGTGGGCCATGGTACTTTTCCGGGGTTCACGATGGACCAATTTCACACGCCTACAGTTCGCTTTTTCTTTTCGTTCTTTTAATTTTAAATCTTTTCGGATTTTTCACTCTTTTTAGTTTCCTTTATACTGCTCTTTATACCACTCGAAGCAAAGATAACGCCCACTGACCAAAAGAAAAAAAAGAAAGAAAGTAAAGATAACGCCCATTTTCTTATCGTTTTACTTATGTCTTTTTCCTTTTTCTTCTTTTTTGTTTTTGTTTTCAGTTTAGTATAAGAGAAATTTATTCTTAGTTTTTTTTTATTTGGTTTCTCATTCTATTTTTGACCATATTATTGTAATTTTCTATTTCATATTTCATAATTGATTCATTGTATTTTCAGATTCTATAGTTTATACTTTTTTTGCTTTTTGATAGTACTATAAAATATTTACAATCAAATCCAAATATAAGCAAATCGTTTTATTTCGTTTCTTGAATCTACTTATTTAATAAAAGAAATAGAATATAATATATGTACTTTGTGCTATTATTAAATGTTATGATATATATCCGTTATTTACTTTTAATGGATCGCTACATGTAAATGTGATGTACAAAAATAAAATCGATCACATAATATCATTTGTTTTATGATCTTCAAATAAGATAAGCCAAAAATATTTCCAAGGGATCCCAAGTCCTAATCTCAACATTTTAGGCAGATTTATTTTATTTTCCCTTTTCTCATTGAAAATAAAATATGGCCTTTTGTTACGATTGAGAAAGTATGTTAAATAAAGAATATTTGTGCTAGTATCGTCGAAAGTGAAATAAGTCAAACTTTCGTGACTAATGATGACATCCTGAATATCAACGCAATTCCTTGGAAGACTACTCCACTCCCAAAGTGTTCGACTTTGTTTCGGTTGAGTCTCTCTTCCCTGTTCCCTCCTCCCGCTCTCTTCCTCAACCTCTTACGATGAACGGTTCGATCATCTCATGGCTTCTTCTTGCAATATCCACCATCTCCATCTTCTCCGACGTTGCTACGGCTTCAACTTTAGCTTCAGCCCAGTGTCTCAGCATCGACCAGAGATCACTCTTGCTCGAGCTGAGAGACAGCCTTGTCTTCAACACCTCCGCGTCCTCCAAGCTAGTACGGTGGGACCGAAGCGCTGATTCATGGAGCGGCGTGATGTGCGAGGACGGGCTCGTCGTGGGACTCGATTTGAGCGAAGAGTCGATCTCTGGTGGAATCGGCCGTTCATCGAGCCTCTTCAGGCTCGAGTTCCTTCAAAGCCTGAACTTGGCGTTCAATGATTTCAACTCCTCAGCGATCCCGTTCGACCTCGTGAATCTCAGCCGCTTGGTACATCTCAACTTGTCCAATGCCGGATTTGCCGAGCAGATTCCGGCGGAGCTATCGCGCCTGACGGAGCTACGTATTCTTGATCTCTCTGGTCTTTATTACTCTGGACCGGCTTTGTTGTTCCTTGAGAAGCCCTCTTTGAGGTCACTGATTGGGGATTTGGGGGAGTTGAGAGAGCTGTACCTTGATTTGGTCAATGCGTCTGCTGAGGGAACTGGGTGGTGCGACGCGTTGTCTTCTTCAGTGCCGAAACTTGAGGTGTTGAGCATGTCTTCCTGTTCTCTGTCCGGTCCTATCGGCGCTTCTCTTACGAGTCTGGCTAATCTGTCGGTCATTCAACTCGATTACAACAACTTGTACACCACAGTTCCTAGTTTCTTAGCGAATTTCTCTAGCTTGAAAACACTGAGCCTATATGCTTGTGGCCTGTAGGGGGAATTTCCTCCTGCAATCTTCCAGGTACAAACACTTTAGAACCTTCATGTATCATCCAACGAACTTCTTTGGGGTTCTTTGCCAATATTTTCGGAGAACAGTTCTCTTGAGACACTGGTTCTGAGAGGCTTGAATATTTCCGGGGGGCTCCCAAATTCAATTGGTAATCTCAGGAATCTGTCAAGAATAGAATTGGTGAATTGCAGTTTTGATGGAAATATCCCAAGCTCTCTCACCAATCTCTCGCGACTGTCTTATTTGGACTTGTCATTCAACAATTTTACGGGTTCAATTCCATCACTCAGCGAGTCCAAGGATTTGACATCTATCATTTTGTCCAGCACCAGTCTAACTGGTCCGATTGATTCAACACAATGGGAATCCCTCTTGAGTCTTCTTATTCTCGACCTGGAATTCAATTTACTTGAAGGAAATATTCCTTCATCTCTGTTTACACATCCATCGATTCAGGCGCTTCTACTTTCCAACAACCGATTTTCTGGTCAATTGAAGGGATCTTTTGATGCTCCATCGCACATGCTGAATACACTTGATTTGAGCAACAACAATATAGGAGGAGAACTACCGACGTCTATATGGGAACTCCAAGGGCTCGAGTACCTCTCACTTTCTTCCAATAATTTTAGTGGCTCATTCCACATTAATTTGGTTCAGCAGCTGAGAAATCTTTCAGCTTTGGATCTTTCCTATAATCGTTTTTCCATTGATGCCACAAATACTGCTTCCCAGGCCTCTTCATTCCCTGACCTTCAAGACTTAAATTTGGCTTCCTGCCAGTTGACGACATTGCCTCAGTTTTTGGTTAACCAGTCCAAATTGTTCTTCCTCGACCTCTCCCACAATTATATAAAAGGGGATATACCGAGATGGATATGGACACTAGAAAATCTTGGGCATCTCAATCTTTGCTCTAATTTCTTTGAAGATTTGGAAACACCTCTGGGCAATCTTACATTGAGTCTGAATTTCGTTGACCTCCATTCAAACATGCTTCGAGGAAATACGCTACCCCTGCCGTCATCTGCTCTCTTCTTGGATTTCTCAAGTAACAACATAACTTCTGTTATTCTGGATAACATTGATGACTACCTATCAAACACAATCTTCTTCTCCCTTTCGAAGAATAATTTCCATGGGTCCATCCCGAAGTCAATTTGCAAAGCTGATATTCTTGAAGTGCTTGACTTATCGCATAACCATCTGAACGGAACTATTCCTGATTGTTTAATGATGGCGTCCCTCACGGTATTGAATCTGAGGAATAACCAATTGAGTGGCGATATTCCACAAAACATCCCAGCAACATGCAGTCTGAAGACATTGGATATTAGCGAGAATTTCCTGCAGGGCCAAATTCCGTTGTCGTTGGCAAATTGTACGATGTTGGAGATTGTGAACATCGGGGACAATCAAATAGATGGGACATTTCCATGCCATTTCAATGCTATGTCAAGTCTCCGTGTCCTTGTTTTACGATCCAACAAATTGCACGGGGAAATTGGATGTCCACATAGTCCCTTCACCTGGCAGATGCTTCAAATCATTGACCTATCTTCCAACAATTTCAGCGGCACGTTGCCTGCGAGTCTCCTTGCATCTTGGGAGGCTATGAAGGCCAACGTAGACTTCAATCGTTTTCTGTATGAGTTATTCCGATTAAGAGGTAAGTATTATCAAGATACTGTGAGTGTAACCTTCAAAGGTTTGAAGCTAGAACTCATCAAGATTCTGACTATTTTCACGTCGATCGACTTCTCGGGCAATAGATTGGAGGGTCCAATACCAGACACACTTGGAGATCTCAAAGCACTTTATTTCCTCAACCTATCGCATAATGCCATCACAGGTTCAATTACTCCTGTTTTAGGGAATCTAGATCAGCTTGAGTCATTGGACCTGTCATGGAACCACCTCAATGGAACCATACCAGCTCAGCTTGCGAATCTTGATTTCCTTTCGTTCCTGAACCTCTCAAATAATCAACTTGTGGGAAGCATCCCGACAATGGGACAATTTCTCACATTTTCCAAAAGTTCCTTCGAAGGAAATCTTGGATTGTGTGGGCTTCAGCTCAACAAAAGTTGCTTAACTCCAACGAATGGGACTGAAGAAGCGGGTAGTGTTCCAACTCAAAGTGACCTCGATGATGACGGCAACAATGATGATAGCGAGAAGAAGTGGTTTTACATGGGCATACCGCTTGGATTCGCTATTGGCTTTTGGGTATTTTGTGGTCCGATAGTGTTTATCAGATCATGGAGGTTTACTTATTATCGATTCTGGGATAAAGTGCTATTCAAACACTTGCATCCATGAAGATTTCCACTAAGGTTCAGTTACTAAACTTGAAAAAGAGTGTTGTCGTTCTTCCTTCTCTTCATAATTCTTCATCACCATTTAAAAGACGGTCTTGTTTACTGATCAATAGAATTCTTGCTTACCCATTGGGAAAAAATGTAGGTCCATGTCTCGCGTAGAACTGACCATTCAAAAGTAGGTATGCGGCCTAGACCTTCAATTGGATCCTTCAAATTTGCTTGTGCAAAATTGGATCCTTCATTTTTTGTATTTTTTTGAATCAACTCCTGTAACTCTACCCTATTCTCAATCAAGTCCTTAAATAACTCTTATTATGTAAGACGTGTTAAGCTAAGTTCATAATTTCTTTATTATCAAAAAAGGTTAAAATCAATAATGTTAAAATCGAAAGAAATTGACTTTATTCTATAGAAAAAGGAAAGTAAATTGTAGAACACAAGGGAGGGGGAGCGAGAGAGACGCGAGGAGGGGTGAAGTACTTGGTGGCAGCAACCACCACTAGTGACAATTGGTGATGGTTGAAAAATGTGAAGAAGTTATGTTGGTTGAGCTACCAATTTCTATAGTAGTCTACTTACTAACATTTTTTTTTATTACTTCATAAGGTTTTGAAAGCTTATGAATACTTATTTCTCCCCAGTGATTTAAATTTACCAATTTTTAATATGGACTTATCAATTCTTTTTAAAATTCCCAACTATTCCAACAATTACCATCATTTAGTGAAGGAACTTAAGTGACAAAACTTTCATATGTAATGTCACAACCTTCCTGAGGTTGAGATATTTGAGGGATGTTGATAGGTTGCTAAGCAAGCACTAATGGTTCCTCTTTTGTGGTGGCGCCTACGCCTCACACGAACACTACCAAGCCCTATCGGTTGCAACTTAATTTTCCAGTTCAATTTAATTTGCTTTGGAGCTTACATAGATCAATTTTGGGCCGTTTAGGAGCCCGAGTACGAGGCAGGAGTTCGCCTTACTCTTGTGAACCAGAGATATGTGAATCCGGCAGGAGTTCGCCTTACTCTTGTGAACCAGAGATATGTGAATTCGGAAACTTGGTTATACTAGATAAATCTAATGTCCATTGCCAGTACCTTTTCTCTTTTATGAAAATTTTTTGCGAGCAATCTTCTCAATTTTTTTTCCTTATATCCTTTAATCATGTAAAAAAAAGGTGATCATGAAAGGGTGTTCAAGCAATATATATTAAATCAAGTGATAATAAAGATGAAGCAAATAAAGTACTAGCAAAATAAAGAACCCGAACAGTATTGGGCAAAATTAACAAAGCCTTGTTATTAAGTCTTGGGATAGGACCCTCGTGAGCGATAAACCAAAAGTAAACATGCACTATATTAAAATAAACACGAGATGGCCAATCTAAGTGCCGAACTTGCCTGAACCATCATGAATCAAATATCGTGAACTATCTAACACTATGATGCAGAACTCGCCTAAATGTGATTAAGATGCAATTCTAATTTTTTTTGTCTTTTCTTTTGTCTACTTTTTAACCCTAAAATAACCCTACATGTCGAGAATACCCCTTTATGGCCGAAATTACACTATTAATTTAGATGAACATGAATTAATCAAAACTTGCATAATTTAAGATGCAAAGTCACCTAGCATGCTTCTAAATTTCTTTTTTTATATCTTTCCTTTTATTATTGATATGCAACTACCTAGGTGATCATGAATATCCTATATGCCACATGACAATAAAAGATGCAATTTTTATGATTTTTCTCACTAATTTACATGAACTAGCAAACTCTACCCTATATGCATGAATAAAAAGCAGTAAAGTTTGATCTTTCCTTGAAAGATTCGATCTTTTTGACATGAGCGAAGTCACCGATAAAGGTCGAAGCTTTAGCCTATTTTCCATGAATCACTGCAAAACAGATGATCAAAATTCTTCCAAGCAAGACAAACAAAGGAGGGGGCGTGACCAAGAGCACCAAGGGGACCGGCCATGAACAACATGCAGAGAAATCATCAATCCAACCCGATTCAATGTTAACATGCAAAAAGATCATCCATATAATTCAACCAAGGGCAAATCCACGCAAAAAAGAGATCAATCTAAGTAACAAAGATGCAACCTCTCTCTGATTAAGTTCATGCAAAGGGGAATCAAAACATGGCAATCTATCAATCCTATGAACATGAGGAATTTAGAGATAGACATGGAATCGACAATCCCTACATGTAAATCGTGATCAATACTTGGCCATAGACATGCAATTGAATCATGGACACGATCCGATCAATTTGCGCTGGAAACAAGGTGGAATTCAATTCCTAGTGTAACGGATCAAAAAGCTTACTTTTAGTGGACACAAACACCGAGAACAACGCAACCGTGAGTATGGACACTGGGATTGGGAGGATTAGGCACCGGGATTGGACTCCTCTACACGAACAGTTCGCAAATGCTGTGATTCAACGTGGCAGATTCTGTAACTTCTCTTGCTTGTTTCGAGTTAGATACGAACTTAAAAGACTAGGTTTCAGGCACCAAAACAATCATCCTCGATTGTACTTTCCAACAATATATTGCTCACGCTGATTCTAAATATATTGCATTGATTCAACAATATATTGCACAACCTCCTTCCCCATGCTTATGTATATTGACTTGATTATGCAACAATGTTAGTGACTTATTATGGGATAAGGACAGCACAGGTGTAATAACTTTTGTACGATACTCATTGGAGTACTATAACTTTTTGTTCGACCACTTAAGTGCTATAACTTAAAAAAAAAAAAAACGTTTACTTGAGTACCGTAACTTTCAATTGATCACTTGAGTGTTATTAATTTTTTAAAAATGTTCACCTAAGTGCCAAAAATCCAACGTGGCGTGGCACTTTGTGATGAATGTTTTCAAAAAGTTATGACACTCAAGTAATTGATTGAAAATGTATGTGACACTCAAGTAATTGATTGAAAATGTATGTGACACTCAAGTGAGCGTCGTACGAAAATTATGGTACTTGTAATATCTTTCTCCCAACTTACTACTGTCAATGGTTTAATAACTTACCAATTATGTTATATAATTACAAGTTAAAACTAAATCATAGTATAATAAATGGTAATCTACTATTGGGTACGGTAAAACTGATATTTCATTGTTGACTTTCAAATAGTTATGTGCCCACTTGTAAATTATTAAAACAAGAGTTATCTGCTATTAGTTTTGGGGATAAGGACACCACAAGTGCTATAACTTTCGTATGACGCTCATTTGACCTCTATAACTTTTTTTTTTACCACTTAAGTGTCATAACTTTTAAAAAAACGTTCATTTCAATGCCATAACTTTCAATTGATCACTTGAGTGCCATAACTTTTCAAAAATGTTCAGCCAAGTGCTCGAAATCTGATGTGGCATAACATTTGTGGAGAACCTTTTTTAAAAAGTTGTAGCACTCAAGTAATCGATTGAAAAATTATATGACACTCAAGTGATCAGAAAATAAGTTGTGGTACTCAAGTGATGTTAACAACATGTGTCATAATTTTTCGTATTATGCTCGTTTGAGTGCCATAACTTTTTGTTCAACCACTTGAGTGTCATAAGGTTTTGAAAAAAGTTCACTTGAGTACTGTAACTTTCAATTGATCACTTGAATATCATAAATTTTTTTCAAAAAACGTTCACCTAAGTGCCGAAAATTCAATGTGGCATGACACCTGTGGAAAGTTATGACACTTAAATGATCGATTCAAAAAGTATATGATACTTAGAAAAAAAAAGTTATGGCATTTAAGTGAACGCCGTACGAAAGTCGTGGCATTGTAGTGTATTTTTCCCAACTTACTACTGTCAATGGTCTAATAACTTACTGATTATATTATATAATTACTACTTAAAACTAAATCATAGTATGATAAGTGGTAATCTACTATTGTGTATGGTAAAATTGAAATTTCACTGGTAACTAAAGTTACGTGCCCGCTTGTAAATTATTAAAACAAGAGCTAATATACTATTAGATTTGAGGATAAGGACATCACAAGTGACATGACTTTTATACGGCGCTCACTTGAGTGTCATAACTTTTTTTCTTTTCAACCACTCGAGTGCCATAACTTTTCAAAAAAGCGGAAGCCTAACATGGCAAGACACTTGTTGAGAACATATTTAAAAGTTATGGCACTTAAATAATCCATTAAAAAGTTATACGGCACTCAAGTGATGTTGATACCGAAATTTTTCATCGACAAAATTGTATATGCTTATATAGGATACATAAATCGGAAAAATAAAAATAAGAAGAATGAGAAAAAGAGAGAGAGAGAGAGATCATTTTTAAAGCCCATTCGGCCATTGAATTCAAATTTGGACCGATAGCTTGATCCAAACCCATCAACCCAAACCTAAACCCAAGTCCGTATGCTCATGAATTTGAGCCATAATAAGACTTCAATCACCGCGTGGGCTCACTTTGACCCATAAATCTTCAGTCCTCGATTTCCAATCGGAGCCCATTTTGGGATTTCTCTCAGGGAATCGATTGATTTCCACAGAGACTTCTTTCTAGTTTCTGCTGGCTCATCACCGCGCCCCATGGCGACGTCGCCATCGCCGGACCGCCGCCTCCCGTGAAGATCGAGGTAGCCCAAAACTCGCTTGAATCTCTTCCACCGGTCTTCATTCTCCCCATAGTTGATTGGACTGCCTACTGCTGCGACTTAGCTTGGCTTCTTCATTGACAAGGCAGTCTCCGATTCTCCATCATGCTATGATTCTGGCGAAGCTGAAGTGAATGCAGAGCTCGTTTTGCTTCGGTCAGGATCGGGGTCATGTTAGAGTCGTGTATTTTAATCCTGAACTTCACATGTTAATTTCGTTTGCCTATGGTCACAAATACGAGTTTGAAATCGCAAAAAGTCTGATCCTTAATCGATTGACTGCAATCTGTTCGACGAATTGTCTATTAGGATTCAATGCGAATTAGTTTCAGTCATTTTGTGAATCCGAAA